CCACTCCCCCCGGTCGCTACCCTCCCCCAACATCCCCCCACCCCGCGCGCTGCTCCCTCCCTCCAACAACCCCTCCCGCGCCGCTACTCCTGCCGGCGCTACCCTCCCCCTCAACAATCCCCCCACCATTACCCCACCCCTGCTGCCCCCCCGCCACCCTCTGCCTCCCCTCCCCTTCTAACAATTTACCCCATCCCGTGCTGCCCCTCCCCCACCACCCGCAACAACCCCCAATGCCACCCTCCCCCTCTAACAATCCCCCCACCACTATCCTGGTCTGCATTGCCCCTCCTCCTGACGACCTCCAACAACCTCTCCCCCTTCGCCACTCTCAACATCCCCCTCCTCACCACTAACCTGCCCTGCACTGCCCCTCCCACCTCCAAGAATCCCACACACACCCCCAGCACTGCCAGCCCCACCCAGCATCCTCTCTGCCCAGTGTTCTCCTGCCTCCCCCTCAGTTCCTGGCACTGCCCGTCCCCTTGAGCATTCCTACAGCTACCAGCCCCCTGGCGCAGTAGCCTCTCCGCTACAGCCCTTGGGTATCTCTCACACCTTCACCTCCATGCCCCAAGCCCTCCTGCGGTTCCCTGCTGCCCATGGCCTGGCAGCTGGGCAGGGAGATGGACTGCATGATTTCACCAGGCTTTTCATTTCTAGGTGCTGTGGTCTGGCACTTGCCTCACTGCTGCAGGCCATTGCGGGTGCTGTGTGCTATTGTGGCTATGCTGCTGTGGGCGCCTCAGGCCATCATTATGCTGCTGTGGGCCATTCTGGGCATTACTGCAGGCCATCACAGTCATGGTTGCTATGAGCCATCCCAGCTATCAAGATCAGTTGGAGTATTTTTGCTTACAGTTCCTAGCTCTGAACATTGGGTGAAGGCCCTTGGCTCGAGTTTTAGCAGCACTTCACCCTTAGTCTGTAACTCCTGACTGGCCAGCCTACTTGAGTTAAAAGCACCACCACGCTCAAGGTAAGGGGTCTGTGTGTAGATTGGACTTGAATTGGGGCAATATCCAGGTGTAACATAAGTTAACTTTGCATTGAAGAAAAGCCCATTGTTAGAGTGTAGTTTATGTCAATGGACTTTGGGGAGCTAATGCTGTATTGTAACTGTCTACAGCCAAACACATATTTTCTTCAGACTTTCTAATAAGTAATATCTCAGGGCAGAGAATATGCATCAGAAAGTTCAGCCCCAAAAGGCTTATCTGAGAATGTTATAGACCACTGAACACACCGGCTTACAATGGGAGGTGCTGTATCTGATTTATAGAATCATAAAACCATAGGGTTAGCAGGGACCGCAAGGGTCATCTAGTCTAACCCCCTGCCAAGATGCAGGATTTGTTTAATATAAGAATAAGTGAATTCTGCAAGAATAAACAGAAATTGCAAAACCTGGTGTGAAGAGTGCTGAGTAAAGCTAAATATCCAACTTGTACACTGAAAATCTCAAAAGTGTTGCATGAGGTTTTAGCTGTCTGACATCTACAGAGGTAAGGGTATCACATGGGTTCTGCTCACCATTTTGAGAATATGGGGTTAGTTTCCAGGGCACTGATTGTAAATGAAATGCCACAGGTCTGTGAGCTGCTTTTTAAAATCACAAAACGTATCTAACTTGTCTAGGGCCATGCTCGTGAAGGGGAAGGAAAGAGGGAATGCTAGCATTGGTGAGAACTGAGCCCCACGTGGGGAGGAGAATAAAAGAAGGAAGCTGCCTGCTCTGTGGGTGTTTCCATTGAGTCACAAATTATTTCCTTCTGCCTGCTCTGTGGTGTCATTGCTGGGAACTCTGTTGAGTAGGACTGTACCATGTAAAAGAAGAAGACGTTTGTTTGCCAAAGGTAAATGAGTGGGCTGGGAATGCAAATTCCACTCTTCTTAGGAGAGTGCATTTAATAAGGAAATATGCAATAATTTTTACCCATTGAAAGAAACAAGTTCGTACAGTGCCTGCTATGAAAATGAAGAACGGAGTAGAACAGTGCTTCCCACTCACTGGCTTGGGACAAAGTTACCTGATAACAAAATTCACTCTCCAGCCCTGAAAATGAAGATTGGTTCAGGCAAGTTATACCAAAGAGCTTCCACCCCCACCTCTCTCTGTCTTATATTTAGCTGAAGAAAATTTTTACTTTTATCTGATTACTTGCTAAGAAGAGTTGTGTTGTGAACTGTATGTTTTACTGGCTTGACTTGTATTTACATTTATCTTCGCTGAAAGTATAGAAAGCTATTCGATTTTTCTCCTACATATTGAATGCCCAACTTTCCTCTACTGGTAACTGGAGGAGTCATAATATTTGTCTTTCTTATCAGCACTTCGATCAATATGCTGTAGCTGGAATTGTTTGAAAAAGGTTTCATTAGAGTTACTCGCTTGTTAGAATTGGATACAAGTACCACAGGAAAGAATTAATAGAATTCCAGTTACTTTTACTGAACGTTCCCTTATCTTTCCTAGGGCTTATATAGCAATACTGATCACATCTGAGAACAGGAGATATATCAGAATATGAAAGGTGGTGTAAATGTAGAAGAGCAGTTTTAGATGACTGACTAAGGAAGCTTCATGTAGTCTAAATACTGAAAACTTCTCGCAGATGTTAATGAAATTCAGTTTTATCTCCAACTCCTGTCAGAATTAAACTATTTAAAAAGGAAGTTTTGAGGCTAGACAAACTTTGCTGTTGGCAGAAACCCATTTTTCTTTCTTATTGTTATTTAACCCAGAGAAGCCTGTTGAAATCTTTTCTATTCCATATCAAAACTGAAAATTCAAGAAGATATGTCACCATGAAAACCTCCTCACAGATACCTCCTGCAAGTTCCCCTATGTGAGACCACTCTACCCAGGGCCCTGAGTATTCAGCAATCATAGAATTTGCTGTAGAATTCACCTCTTGCTGAAGAATTGTTTCCAGAATCTCGGATTTCATTTTTTTAAAGAATTACATTTCTAGTCCTTATGACTGCGAAGGAAACATCAAAAGTGTGAATGGATGGCTGTCTAAGTCTGCAAAGAGCCAGCAGCAATAGCTCTGAGAGGAGTGAATTGTCCTAGTTATTTCAGTCAGGGACCTTTGGACTCAGATTGTGCAGAAATGGTACGTAGCATTTGTCACGCTGTCTGCAGTGGTTCACGACGGTGAGTGTCAACCTCAGGGTAGATGGTCAAAAAGCAGGGCAGGGACCTGGTGGTATGGTCTATAATGAGATTTCATCAACCCAGTAACAAATGTGAACTCCTGAAGCACTGTAACAGTCTTACCAGGGAGTCACAAAGTCCCCTTGGGCACTCCCGTCTATCTTGCTACCAAGGCAAGCTTAACTCTGTGATAAATGGTTGCTTTACTCCAAAAATAACAAAATATTCAGGTTGCTTCCATCCTGGAGACTGGTCATTTACCCCAGGTCAATCTGTGCCTCAGATCTCACACCAAAGACAGTGCTTGTAGCTAATCCCATAGTAAACAAACTAAGGATTTATTAACCAGGAAAAAGAAATGAAAGAGTTATGACACTGCACCCCATATTTGTCATAGCAGTATTATTATGATATGATTATAGCATAATTATGGTGTATTTTATGTAAGATGGGTTGTGTAAAGTGTCACTGGAAAAGTTATGTTTTGCTGAATATGATTAACCTATTTATATGCATGTATCATTTTTGTAT